TCAATGTCAAATATTAATATTCATGTGTCAATAATTAATAACTATATAATAAAAATAAGTAACAGCTTACAGAAACATTCTTCTTGTCATTTCTAAGGTAGTTTCGAGCAATGAATAGAACGCCGTGCTACCCCAATGCGTGTTGGCGTACTCTACGTGCCCTTTATTTTTATTCATACATGCAAGGTTTCTCACGATGTTTTCCTTCACCTTCGAACACATGGAACACAAAATTACAACTCTCAAAGAACCCATTCAAACACACACAAAAACCTAAAAAAATTGGTCCAGTCGTTTAAAAAGAGTTCTGTGACAAACACACAAAAGAATTATGAAGATAAAAATACTTAACCGAACAAAGTAACACCTATAGCGAAGATACACACAGATAACGTTTATAAGTACTTTAGGAATTAGAGATCCTAGGCTTAACCGTCATCTCGTTGAACGCCTTTGCGATATTACTACACTATGACTAAATTGTATCAAATATTTGTAATGATCGCTCTTTTACAAGAATTATTCTTAGATGTATATACGTTATGCCTCATAGACGTTTGCTTTGAGTCCTTCTAGATCGGTATTACTTTCTTACCGTTGCCTGTTGCTAAGTTGCAATGTATCGATTTCTAAGGTTTGGAGCATAAATCAGCCATTGTAATTAAAAGCGTATCATTTTAGACCACACGTGACGGAACAGTCGACTTCTTGTTTGGTTGTCTCATTACTCGTTAGCTACTGCGACTTAACATCAGTTGCATTGTGAGCTCATTTGTCCTTGAAGCTTTATTTAAAAAGAAGCTTTACAAAAAGTACCCTTACAGAAAATACTCTTACAAAAAATACACGTTTACAGTTCACCCACATTGTGTGTGCCCAATCTATAAACATTACAATCTAATTTGTACAAATGACATAATTATGGAATTGTACCGTAAATACGGTTTAATAAAGCTACTGAATTGTAAATGTAACACTACTAAATATTTGTAATTTAAACCCATAAAAAACGAGTGTCATTTTCAATGATAATTGTATTTTACTAAGGGCCGATTTTTCAATCGCCATATCATAACAGCTTGACATGGAATAAACTATGATTTGACTAAATATAAAAGTGAAGCATTTAAATCATATTATTCACACAACTGTAATTTTCAATTTGTTTCAGTATATTATATCTTATCCTACATACTAATTATAATTGACGATTGAAAAGTCGACCCTTAGTTTTGTATTGTAATAAAAATTAACAATCATTAACCCACCTGTAATAATCGTATTACAATCTTACAATATTAAAGATTTGTAACTACAATTCTGAGTTTAATATACCGGTTTTTCTGAAAAATCGTAAAATATTGTCCGTCAATAGAAATGGATACAAGTGGTTCGGGCCGTGTTCCGTGGCATTTTTAGGGGAAGCTTGTTTTCAGCAGTGGATTTGAGAAAGGTTCTAAGAAAATTCATGTCTTAATATGTAATAATATGCAATAATAGTTATAACTTTTATTGAACAAATATATGTAAAATTGTAGCTATAATTCTAGAACTATATAAGAAAAATTCTTGTAGATATAGATAGGGCCCTGGCTCGGTTGCCTTAGTATAAACTAGGTATGTTGACACCAGTGTATTAGCACCTTAAGGACACATTTTCGGCAATATAATCCGTACGTCCGGGAAACTGGGTTGTGTATATAGAAAAACTCGGTCAGATCTCGCGGTAATCTAGTTTATGGTGCAGGCGAGATTAACGCACGTCATAAATTTACCGACCGCGGCTGACGGAGTTACAATCTGATTTCTATGGCGCTGATGTTTTCTTGTTTCAGTTATGAAATCTAGCCAAAAACAATGCCAATAACTTTGTAACTCGTTATTAAATCTAAATTAAAACTTTATTTCAGGGTTTAAAATATATATTTTACCGTTAAAAAGAAAGATGTCTGCTAATTATCATTCATATTATTCTTTCCAATACAGCCAATTTTTAACAAATGAGTACTGAGTATGTTGTCTGCCACACACATTTCCGATATTGACAGTGTGAAATGTGGTCATTGTTAGAGGTGGGGCCAACGCCTTTGTTCTTGTTTTGAAATTGTAAAGGTCCGATCATATTGACTACTTCTGAAATTTACTGTAGAGAAGATTAAATTATTTTTACATATAATTTCATAAATAAATAACAATAAAACAATATTAGTTTAAAGAAAGATTTATTTTCAAAAAAAGACAAACAATGCCTCTTACATGAAAATAATAATTACATTTTAGTATACTTATTCCAAAAGTCGTCGAACACTCAGTGACTAACATCATAGTCTCAGTTTAATGGTGAAAAATGTTCAATTATGTATTGTGATAGCTGAGACTCAAAACTACTAAATGAACTTACATTTTTTATATTACAAGGCAATTTATTATAAATCTAGATAGATAGAGATATAGAATAAATATATTATGCACACGAACTTAGAAACAAAATAATTAATATACAATTCTTGTAATGTAAGAAACTTTTTCGTCCCCATGAAACAGTATCCGGCCTTTCTACCTACTAAAATACTACTTCTATCTCTTTTATTATAGGAAAAACCAAATTTTTTAGTGCTTTGTACACTGTCGGTCTTGACATAGACGGGAAATCAGAATGTTCCTTTATAGGTGCGTCCACACTTGTGTCATTTTACCGAACATTATCCCGTAACCGTATCAGTAACCCGTGTCAGTACCGATAGTGTGGACGTCTTTTGTTACGCGAACAATTGTTACAAGCTACAGTTACGCTTTAATCCATTCCGAACACTGGTAGGAACTGTTGGACGTTACGACCTACTAGCTGGGTCTAGTGTTGACGCTGGTCTGTGTACTGTTACACATCTACGAGCCGATCCGTCGAGAGTCGGTTTTTTTTTTTTCAAAGGATTTTGCTATTGTTTGCGTGACCAGGAGACGTCCACACTTACATTTATGACCCGCGTCAAAGTACGCCAGATGACACAGGATATAATATCGTGTCATTTCGTGACATGTTTGGTAGCCCTCCGCCAACACCTCACCTCACCTTATGATGTTCAGAATTTTATGTAATATAGGTGTTTCATTTTGAAAATAAAATGTATGTACCAGATTATAAGAGCGCTTTTCGTAAAATCATCATATTTGTTAATAACACTCAAGCGATTTCGTTTCTTTTTCGGTGATTTTGGTGGTACACCTGATTTCATGTGTCCAATAACCTAAAAAAAAACTAAACACATCTTATCATGTCTATAATATAGTATAAAGTAATTAATTTATATTTTATTTTGTTAAGATTTTTATAATTTAGTTTTACGTAATTTTTAATTTACTAAAGTGTAAATTATTTATCTATTTATAAAAATAAAACTATAGGAAACATGACCGCCATAACTCACGGGCAAACAATATCGTTTGGTTCACTCACTGAAACACGTGCGATGCCCAGGTGGTTGCAGAGTCAAGTCAACTGAGACCTGATGACCTGAGTGTGCATGGTAACTACAGCGTTTGTGTGAAACGGACTCTATGTTGATTACATGGACCAATAACCACGCAGTCAAAATTTTCGGGTTATACTTTTCTTGCAGCACGAATGGTTCACCTCTACCGGAGAAGGAATCAATCACAGAATACCAATGTTACCGTTACCGTTACACTCTATTAAAAGATAGGAGGAAGCCACAGTTATCACGCTTGGCCGACATTTTGACAACCGCAGTTTCTTACGACATCCATAACAAAATATAACTGTAGGAGTTTACCATAGTTCCCACGCTTGGCAGGTGATATTTTTTTATTTTCAAGTTGTTTTGAAAACGCCGCTGCGAATCTCCATTTTTTTCTTGTTTTCTTTGTTTCCCTTTATATATATATATATATATATATATATATATAACTGATAACATCAACAGTGGTTTTAGTAGTATTCGCTTTTGATTAGCTGTCTAATGTCTGAAAGATGTGTCCTTTCAGCTCTATGATTTATATCTTGGGTTTAATTTAGTAAAAAAAATACGGAAAAGATGTGTAAAACTGCGTAGTACCTAAATGACTTAGCCAACCATGATGAGTTAGTAAAAGAAAAAAGAAAAAAAATATAAAATCTCATGGTTCATAGCTGGCAAACGAAGTACTTAATCAAGTACAAATATTCTAAAACGCTGCCGGCACGGCCTCCTACAAGATCACAGAGGGTTATGGAAGCAAAATATATGTTTGCCAAATTGCCCCATTTCATATTAGCCAAGCGATAATGACAAAAGACACTTGTCGACCATGTAAATTAACCATCAGGTGTAAACAAGCAGCGCTTATAGTGTGCAGCATCTGGTACAACTATCGCCGATCCGCCTATCGACTGCCGTTTTCACGGCAAATGCCACTACGGTAGAGTCCTATGTGCCAGTGGATGGTTTACGTGATGAGGAAACTGAGGGCATTGTTTCTGTCGGATTGGTGCACTTCAAATGTCACAAGACTAGTTTCCTTCGTAACTTTTCTGTTCACTGCTGAACCCATGGTAAATTGTTTCTTTAAATTATAATTAAAATTTCTCTCGCTTGCGTACTTTGAAATTTGTCAGCACCTTGCTCCTAAACTATGTATAATAAATGTAACAAAGTACAATTATTGAACTCATCCTACCTTTCCCTTTTATATCATACCAACTCAAATGTAAGGTTAAGGTTGAACGCGGCAAAAACTCTAGTAAAAAAAAGAACAATACGTGTTTTTCACGCTACACCCACGCTCGTAGAGACTACTAAACTTTGAAAAATAATGACCCGAAATGTGATTATAACTAGAGTACAAACCTAAGATCAGCGCATTCAACACAGTAGAAATTATTGTGAAAGTGTATTGTACTTTTTACTCTGTATGTATTGGAATTAAAAAATACGTTTGTAAAAAAGTTTTATACAAAATTCGACGCTCTTTTTCAGGGACACCTCGACAACAATACGCTGGACATGAGAAGAAGTGAGCATCGCCATCTGATACTTCAGATTGCGCTCAAGTGCGCGGACATCTCCAACCCCTGCCGGCCTTGGGATATCAGCAAGAAATGGAGCCTAAAGGTTTGCGAGGAATTCTTCAGGCAAGGCGACTACGAGCGCAAATTAAACTTACCTGTTACAGCACTCTGTGATAGACACACGACTTCGATTCCCAAGATACAAACAGGTAACTATTCTTATTTTTATTTTAAAATATTTTCGATGAAGGAGTAAATACGAGTATGAGTCTCTGAGAGATAACTATACATTTGTGCCATTTGCTTTTGTTGCTCCTATAGGAACTACATCCGCAACTGGTCGCAAATACTGCTAGTTGTGCTTGGTACTACACTGCGGGAGTAGGACTGTATGGTAATATATATATATATATATATATATATATATATATATTATATATATATATGACACATGAAATAAGTTAAGATTAATATTATCAAGTTCAAATATCCCCAAAATAGTTGGAGCCTAATTGTGTAGGCTCAATCGGGGAACGACCATTTTCTCACAGAATATCAGTCGTTTTCTATTGTAAAATAGCGGCGTAATACCTATTCTTAAATTTCCAGACGTTGCTTCTAAAATATTGTAACAAATATTATCATTATCTTCAAAACAAGTCGATCAAAGAATTCATTTCGATCAAATCTCAACAGTTGCAGCGAGAGATTATTTACGTCTTTACTAATTAAATGACCGTTATTTTTAAAATATGTTCCCATTTGGCAGCGTTGGCTGTTATGTATTGCTTCCAAAATAGAACGTTTTTTGACTAATTGGTATGGTAACACATAGTTTCTAAATCCAGCTGATCAAAATAAATGTACAATTAACTCGCTTCGTTGAATAAATGAAGATCCAATTATATGTCAAGAAAGAATTTTCATGAAAATGAGTACATCATAGGACGCTTATTTTTATATAAAAAAGGCTAAACAAATAGAAAAAGTGTATTTTCAATTTCAGTCAGTAAAATTAAAACTTCACTCTACAAATTGTAATTACGTTCGCATATTGCTATTTCCACCTTTATAATATCAACCTCGTGTTCTAATTATTTTAACGATTACATGCAAATATTTTGTTCATTAACTTCTTTAGTACCCTATTAAATCATTCCTTACGCGGATTATGAGCTATAAACTTCTTGTTTTTTTTCCAGGGTTTTTCAAGTTTGTAGTCACGCCTTTGATAACCGAGTGGCACAGATTTTTGCAAAGCGATTTGTCTACACAGATGTTAGAGAATCTCCTTTACAATCAGAAAAAATGGGAGATGTTGGTAGATAAAGAAAACGCGGAAGAGACGCGAACGGAAATATCAGAAGCTGATTTGGTAGATGATGATATTGAGACTCGTTCCGGAACAAATATATCTGACAGCTCAGAGTTACTGCTTCCAGTCCGTAGAAGTTCCTTAAACCCAACAAAACCTGGCCTCAGAGAACAGTTGAGGCGCTTCTCGGTACCGCTCAATGTTTTCCAAGATTCCAAGTTTAAGAGTCGAGACAGAAGCCGCGCGTCGCCCAGCTTCGATTTTCACAGGGAGTATGGTAGTCCACTTGGAAGTGAATATTCGTTACATTCGCAGCTGAGCGTTCACGGACTCTGCGAGTCTGTAAGTACTGCTGCGGAGAAAGTACTCAGTACTGAAAAGCTTCTCCCGGATTCCTCGATCGCGTCAATCACAACGCCCCTCCAAGCAACGAGGCTAAACACCGTGATCAAAGACGGCGGTAGCTGGAAACTTGTTCGTCAACAAACTTTCCCGCCTCTGGAAACTGTAGCTCGTGCACATCCACTAGCCTCCCGTCCCCTACACACGAGCAACGAGGACGCCATATACTCGTCTCGATTCACGAAATCCGATTTCCTACAACGCTTGGAAATCAAGCGAGACGGCAAATTTAGCTTATTTAAGAAAACTGAAACCGAAAAGACTGAAAACGATGACGCTTCTTCTGAAAATAATAATTTAGATATAGGTGATGGTGCACAAAAACTGAACAAGGAGAATTGCGAAGCGGTCCGTACGGCTGTCGGCAGCCAACTGAGGGACAATCTGACTGCAGTCACCCTCGCCACGTTGGCCTCGGATCAATTGCTGCGGCGCCGAAAGTCTATGCCAGCTGAAACAGTGGCATACAGTAAGTATACTCTTAATACTAGTGATTTTTAACAAAAATCTAGTAATAGTACCTATATAGGCTAGAAGTAGCTTAAATCACCCTATGTAATTTTGTTAATAATCACATTTTTAGGAATTGGTTACGGGGTATAGGATGAAACCACACATTATTATTAAATAATAGTTTTTTGTTACTATAAACTATGTTAAAACATATGTAGCAATTTATTTAATCTTTTTTTATTTATAGTAATAATTCATTAGCAACACGAACAAATGTTACAAAAAAGAACAAGTCGAGATCATTAACTTTCTTTCTGCTAAACGATAACAGCAAACATGATTGCTTGACTGCAATCAGCTGAAACTATTTTTAAACATTTTTTTTATTAGAAGAAGAATTTTAAAAGAGCAAGAAATGAAGGATTCAAGAATTTTTTTTGATCTCTTTAGCTTGAATATAACTTTGTTCGATATATGTTAATGGTGACAAACGTCCAAGTTGAATTTTCTTGTTACAATGTCCGACCAATAAAGAAAGAAAAAAGAGTGCTGCGTATATTTCTTGTAACGCAAAAACCAAGCTATGTATAAAAACTACGCTTCACTTATGGTAAGAAGTCGCGGCTCACTCAAACATTTAAAATCATTTGCAACGAACAACATGCATGCATGCAGCATTGCACATATACGGCCTGATAAAAATAAAGAAAATAAATACCTGTGTGCGTGTGTGTCAAGAAGTCAAGTTGTTTTCGGCATCATTGAAAAGTACACAGCGCTCTCTGTTTGTCTGTTATTTGTAGGTCTTATGTTACAACTTTACTCTTCTTTATTTTGTTAAAAGTTTTTTGGGTACTTCTTTTACATCGTAGAGGCGTCGTACGTAGTCATAAATTGCCCAAAGGTAAGCAGCCAGGCTGTCCAAGTCCACAGCTGGAATGATTATATGAGAGCGAGGTCGGACTCAGTTTACAAACAAGAAGGCCAAAGTCTAGTGGATGAACCTTTTTTAATATTTGAAGTTACCTTTTTTTAAATATTGTCGCGTGGATTCATGTCAAATACCTATGTTGAAATCGATGCACTCTTAACTCTTACATGAGATCAAATACTCTACAAAGTTTTACAGTATGTGCCCTTTTGTATGGGCGTTACTTATTGTTATGTTCGTCAATTTTGAACCGATTATGATGATTATTTTTATTAAATAGGCTACACTTTAGGGGTAGTCCCATAAAAATAAAATTGGAATTTGTCAAAAATTATTCATATTTAAGAGATTAAATATGAATAATTTTTGACAAATTCCACCCCCAATGTTGGCAAATTTGGGGATAAAACTTTATTATTGTTACTCTATGGACGACATTGAAGTTGTAATAATCCTTATTCCACCCAAAAGTTTAAAAAAATATTAAAAATTAACACACGACTGTAAAAAATAAAAAGAATATATAATAATTACACATTCTGACGTTATGATTTTAATTTTTCTACAGGTACTCTATGTCTCACCACCGACTTCTGAATTTAAAATTATCTTGTTCTTTTTATTGCTTGAAGTCGGCTTAAAATGTAATTCGGAACTTTTTTTATTTTAAAATTGAAAAGGATTTTACAAACTACTTCATGTTCATTTTCGTATTACACTCCTGTTATTTGACAAGACAAAAAGGGACCTTTTATATTTTCATTATGGAATAAAGTACACAAACAGACTGTACTTATGTACAGTTTTAAAATTAAAAGTATAGGGTTGTTGACCTAAACAAAAGAGTCGGGAAGAAAGTTACTTTGTATTTTGTTTGTATAAAATTGAAGAAAAATCTCTTTCGTTGTACTATTCGTATTTAGCTGGTTTTAATATCAATACATAAATATAGGACATTAAGAAAAAAAAGTCAAAAATACTCTCCCGCAATTTTTCTATTGTTTCATTGTTTGACAAAATGAGTGAAACTAACGAAGAAATTTAATACCTTTTGAAATTTTATTACACAAAAAGGAAAAATGCGACTCAAACCGCGAAAAGAATTTGTGACGTTTATGGAAATAATGAATGAAGAGTAGCACAAAGTTGGTTTAAGCGTTATCAGTCTGGGAAATTTGCAGCTCGCTCTGGTCGCCCTCATATGGATAAATCGATGCCATTTTGGAAAAAGAGGTGCAATATGGGCATATTAGCAGTTAAGACATAGCCGAGGAATTACCGATAGACCACAAAACAGTTTTGACTCATTTGAAAAACTCTGACTAACAAAAAAAGTTCGATATTTAGTTACCACAGAGCTCACAACCGAACCAGTTTTGAAAAGGATATATCTAGGATAAGAACGTGCGAAAAAGATCATGGTGAAATGGTAGTTAAGCTCCACAGACTAGCGAAACCCGGTTTCACACGCAATAAGTAGTATTGGAAGGGTGTCGTTTAGTATGAGCTTTTACCGCCGGGCAAAGGCATCGATTCGGATCTCTACTACCAACAACTATTGAGACTCAAGCTAGAAATTGAGAAAAACGGCCGGAATTGATCAACAGAAAAGGAGTGGTCTTTCATCATGATAACGCCTGACCACACACATCTTTGGCCACTCAGCAAAAATTGAGAAAGCTTGGTTGGGAAGTGTTAATGCATCCACCATATAGTCCTGACCTTGCACCTTCAGATTTTCACCTGTTTCGGTCTTTTCAGAATTCTTTGGGTAGTGATAGGTTAAATTCAAGAGGGGATTGTCAAAGCTGTTTTTTTTTAAATCCCAAGTTTTCTACAGCAACTAGTTATCGAACAAAATGGCACATAATTATTATAATTATTGTCTTAAATTTGTATATAAAATACGAAGAAACTACCCGACCTAATATAACTGCAATAAAGACTTAGCCGAAGCAACAATAAACATGTGATAAAATAAAAAAAATACATTACACGTAAAACTCTTTTAAGTCTTGAATATGTCTAGATGAACTTTACTACGCTTTATTTCATCGTAATCACGGCACATTTATTAGTTGCGTTTAATTCCACAGCTCCCAAAGAGAAGAAGATGCGTGAGGTGACCGCAGCCATACCGGAGTTGCTTCGCCGTACTCTGTCCGGGAAAGAGTCTTGGACACGTCGTCGGGGCTCCGCTCCCGCCCCAGTGGCGCCATCTGAGCTACGTGGTTTAACAGCCTTAGGATCCCTACGTCATAGTGTGAACGGAGGCAGAAGAAAACCTAGCCCCGCAGTCACATGCCAGCAGTGGTTCGCCAAGACCACGTGCAACGTCCAAGAAAAGGCATTGCCGAATTTTCCCCGTCGAAGCTCCTTACCCGTTGAGGTGATGACAGGTTGATATCGCTGTGAACGGCTTTTCTTTTTTTTTGTAGTATAATTAACTTTTTTTTTCTCCGGACCTTACTTTGGTTTGGAACGGACTTTAGCTTATATGCAACGTTAAATGTGGTAGATTTAGTTGTGTAATTCATGTTTACTATTTTAACACAATATTTATAATAATTTGTATATGGATGCCATGGTAGCTCAGGGGCTAAGAGGTCGTCGTCGGTCGTGATTAAGCGAGCAGCTCGGGTTTGATCACAGCCGTACCAATGAAATTATTCATAGCAATTTTAAATGCTCAAAAGCAAAGTCAATCACTGGGCCGAAACCTGCTGGTCTAAGGAATAAAATCCTTATTAAATTATTCACATGTGATATCATTGCGAAGTTCTCCAACACACGCAGTAATGAGCGGATAAAAGGTGGAAGAACCTTTGCCTTTGGAAGAACCTGCAGGCTGTGAGACATTCTTTACATGGTAGAGTCACGTTGCAGCTATATCATAGTTGTAGCACGAATGGGTCGGCTCAACCGGGGTGACTAAGATCTCACAAAATATCAACGTCAAATAGCAGCATAATGCTGCTGTGTTTCGTATAGTGAGTGTGGAAAATCGGAGACCATTTTTACTGGAATCTAGGCATTCGATCTTAGTCCTCAGGGGTGACAACGCATTTGCATTTTGATTCTTAATTGAGAAGAAATGTGGATGTGTGCTCGTTTGTCACCCAATTTTATAAAAAAATTCGTTCTCAGGGTGACAACGCGTTTATTTAAAGTGTGCTACATGTGCCCAATTTCGTACGTCGGAAGTTGTCTGCCACAATTGCCACGCGGTCTGGCAGGCAGTTTAATATTATTTTTTCATTTCCCTGTCTGCCCTCTATCGCCCCGTACGACACCCACGGGGAAATATCAGGTAGTGGGTATTCTTAACTGCCACTACACGGTGCATTTACAATTACGACGTCATAAGTCTTCTTGATTTGTAAAAATACACTTGTTTTACTTGATGGTTAAACCTTCATCTATTTGACATTATAATACGTCGTGGGATGGGGGGTAGGGGGTTAATTTTAAATAGCAGAATAGAATAAGTGCTGCATGGTATTAAACATAAATTTAAAAAAAAATTGTGCGTGTAATTGTGTACACACGTTACGAAGTGAAACGTCTTTACGACATATCATTCTTCTTATATTTTATATTTTCCATAACTAACTTAAATACGGCTTACGCAAAAAAAAAACATTACAAGGAATAGTGACGTTTTTAAAAAAAAATACCATACTAAATTTTTCAATTACCTCGATGAAGAAGTTTCACTTCAAAATCACCTTTTCTTCCGTAGAAATAGTGACATTTTCCTGTAACCTCGTAGTATATGTTGTGCTTAATGTGCATTTGAGATTTAATTTTCGTTTCTAACAATTGTTTCGCATCGGTGTTACTGTGTACTGTGTCTGTGTGTACTGTACAAACACTTATTCCTTATTTTGAGTGGGAAAACTGCTCTTTGCAGGTATTTCATCACGATGAGAAGCTGAAAACTTCGGAAAGTAATTAAAATGATCAGATACTAATCAACCTACATGTTTAACGTTCACACGTTTCGTATGGAAGCCGAACGTTACCTAAACGCTTATTTAGTTGGCCGATAAGTACTGAAAGTACTCGGACAAAACGGTCGCGTTCACATAACTGACTATTGTGTGCGACAGAATCTACTACTTAGATTGATAAAACGTTGTAAATATCTTTACTTAGCATTGCGATAACTACAGTGTAGAATACCCTTATCATTTGATACAGAAATAAGTGTTACTTAAAAGCCGATTGAAAGTGCTTACAAACTTAATTGAGAGCAGTTTGTGCAGTGAAAAATGGACCAACTCGTAGGTGGTTGGATGAGGTACAAACGTAAAAGTACACTTTATTGTGCTGTCTGTGAAAATTGTGTAAAGTTGAACGTTTTGTGCCGCGGAAGTACTCTTATAGAGATGCCGGTTCGTGCACTGGATGTACTCTTTAGTGTGCCGATTTGGGTAGTGATAACGCTCTTTTGATTTGTGCATTGGAAAGTACTTTTACAAAGTTTGCCGATTCGTTTAGTGGAAAGTACTTTTATAAAGTTGACCGATTCTCACAGTGAAAAGTAGGTACTTTTATAAAGTTGATCGATTCGTACAGTGGCAAGTACTTTTATAAAGTTGAGTGATTCGTACAGTGGAAAGTACTTTCCTACAGTGAAAAGTACTTTTATAAAGTTGACCGATTCGTACATTGGAAAGTACTTTTATAAAATTGAACCGATTCGTACAGTGGGATGTAATTTATAAATTGAATTGATTCGTACAGTGGAACGTACTTTTATAAAGTAGGCTGACATAAACAGTGGAAAGTACTTTTGTAAATTGGTATTATAACTGTAACATTGTTAATTCATTGTGTATTGTGATTAATTAATCTGACGATGCGTTGAAGCTGATATCGGAGATCGATAGTTGTAATGGAGTGTGACTGTTCTAATATAATAATAATAATAATAATAATAATTACTTAAGTTAATTAGTAATAGAAAATATTGTGTAATGATGCTGTGTTCTTAGATTATAGTCTTCGAGACAGAGATCTGGTCCAGATACGCCAGTGACTCCTGGCGGAGTAACAGATATTACATTTTAGTAAGTTCATTTGTTCAATACTTTAGTACAAATTATTGCTATTACGTTTTTCTCCTAAGTATCTAAAAATAAAAATCGCATGATTTGTATTACTCACCATTTGAATTTGCACAAAAGGACTAATTTTTATTTTAGTCCAGTTTTTAAAGCGTTGTTTTTAAATGTTATGTGCGCTTTTTTCGTGTGAATAGCACACTGAAAGGATTGGAGTCTCATAATAAGTAACTTTTAGTATTCAAAAGTTATATAGTCATAGTATTTAAGTACTTATTGATACTATATATAAATAAGTTTTTAAGTGATCGCCCCTTTTGGGTCTACGGTGTTGTAAATAAGCCGTTTTCGCGGATAATTGTATCTTATATTCAGTATTAAATGTGAATTTAGGTCAATCACGTGTCCTTGTTATATATTTTTATCGTCTACTGTATGAAAACTTTCATATACTTTATTTACAAATATTTGTAACTATACTAGCAGCTGAAATTGTAAAGTAGTTTCATAAAGAAAATGGTTTGTTTCACTCAAGTACGCCATCTAATATCAATTGAAAACTTTTCGAAAAAAAGTATGGGGAAATAAATTAGTTCAGAATCGTATAGTGCAATAAAATGTCTTACTTGTAAGGTAGGTGACCCAAATAAGGCCAACCTTATTTTTTTATTATCTGCGGCAGTTTTTTTCATCGATTTTGTAAACGCCTTCAGGTTTATGTTCAATTCCAAGTCTATCCAGTACACTTTTGTATTTGGAAAAGTGACCACTAACAATATATTTATTTAATTTTTGAGCACGAGCTGGATTCATCATCTGTGCTTTACGACGTGCTAATTTAGGGTGTCGTTTAAGAAATGACCTCAAACCATTATTTCCCCGCGGCGTTTTTGGCATCATTGAAAATGTTTGAATTTTCTTAATTGTACAGAATGAAAAAGCCTGTACGCGCAACATCTTTGTGGTCAACGGCACTCCAACATCAGCCAAACGTATGATTCTTCTGACAAGTCCAGCTTCTTGTTCTGTAGTCAATATGGCCGACCGATCTAGCTTTCGTGTAGTCAACCCACTCGCTAGATGGTTGCGTAGGGTTCTACTTGGGATTTTGTATTTGGCTGCAGCAGCACATGTAGATAATATACCTCTTTCTACCATTTTAACAATGTTTTCCATTTGTTGCGTCTATTATTTTAGTCTATTGAGCCCTTTTTTCCTTGAAGTAGTTTCCGTAGAAGTAGTTTTCCATGATGTTACTGAAAACAAGGGTTTACTATTTTACTGTGACACTTTTCTCTAACTGACATAAAACATTGTCCTAATAAGACCTGCCCTTGTGCCGTTATAAGGCCTATACATTTTTTTTGTAGACTTTATTAGGGCATGGCACATGGGTAAACAAAACAACAATTATATGAAATGCACCGATTTTACAGCTTTTTCACTTATGTGAAGAGATAGCTGCACGTATAATTATCCTATAGACAAAACACAGCCGACCGTGTATAAATAAAATACTTACTACTATTTAATGATTTCTTATACTCGTATTTACGCGAACACTATACATTGATAAAAACTACTTTTACGGATTTTATTGCGTTTATTTTACTTTTAATTACTTTTATTTTTAATTCCCGGTTTTAATTCACGGGGGACTGAGATGACTGACGTCCCGATGTCATTGTTAAACCCGAAGTACCTTCGGGAATTAAAAATAAAAGTAATTTAAAGTAAAATAAACGCGATTAAATCCGTAAAAGTAGTTTTAATCAATACTTACTATTTACTCTGCCAGAATATTTTTTAAAACAAGCGTACGTTCCGCGTCGTTGTTATTTTGTTACACGCTCGCGATACGGTCACTTGCTGTATATGTGGCACGCACACATCTACAAACATTGGCGTGAAGCGGGAAATTTAAAAAATGGGCCTTATTAGGACATAGGCTTTGTTAGGGTCACCCACCTTGTATCTCAAATGATAAAACGGAAAACCGACCGAGTTTTGAGAGAGTATTAATAGTAGCATATATGAATTGTACGTAGTAGTGACTGTATCAACTCCCCAATTGATACTGAGACTTTTTTTTCAATAATCAATTCGAAATACGAGCGATGTAAAAGGTGATGCTAGACGTCGAAAAGTTTTTTTGTGGTTGAACGGTACTTCTGAGGGTGCGATATTTTATAATTTAGAGAGGGATAATGTAAACACTTGTAGTTTGCATGTATTACGTGCACGCCAATGCGTATGTATCGTACACATATCAGTGTTAGCTGAAATTAAATGTGCGTAAACTAATGTCAATGCATTTTTGAATAAAATAAGGTGT